ATGAATACTAGAATTTTTAAAAAGTTTAGAAGATAGGCAGTGGAATCCTAGAAGGGAAAAATATTTACCTTAGTATGACTCCCGCCCTAGTAAAAAGAGAATGTAAGGTGACCCGAAGAGCCAGTGAGATGGAGCAAGGGGAGCTAAAAGTGAAAGAATGCTTTGTTGAAGTTTCCAGAATAAAGTGATAGAAAAAAATATTAGTTGGAGAATAAGATAGCGTAAATGAAGCATTATAAGTAAGATGTGATAAATGGGTGATAACGGTAAATCAAAATATGACAAGATGACAGAGTCTATTATCAAGTGAAGGCAAAGACAAGAGGAAACAGGCTTTGAGACTGTAAAAGAGTATATGCCATAAAGTCATATCCTTATTTCGAGAAATGAGTTGGTGACTCCAACATGATTACTAGAAGGATAAGTTAGACCCCCGGAGTAATAAAAATTAGTATGGGCTAGTAAACAAGAAAAAATAGAACATGATTTAGGGACCGACGGATTTGATAATAGTCGGCATTATGAGAAGTTCAAAGATTGCATTCCGGTAGTGATAGAATGGACAACGGAAGAATAACCTTTAAAGGTCATTCAGGAAGACGCTTCCCTAAAGCAAGCACGGTGAGTAGAGTTAAGCTTAAGGGACTAAGTGTGTCAATTATGCTAGATGTATCCCTCGCGCATAAGAAATTCAATTATCCCCAGTACAGAAGGGTTACTGCAAGGCGAGTAATGGTCATTGAAGATGTGAAAAGACGCCGAATATGAAGAGGTAAAACATCTATAGGTAAATCTTCATTGCATTAAATGTTAGTACTCCCATAAAGGGGGAAGATGGTGTGATATAGTATTAAGTCGGAGTTATGTGGTTCAGGTAATTATGGAATAGTAAATGAAGAATGCGGTAAAAATGCAAAAGGAATGAGATTGCATTTATTCAGATCCTACAGATATGTAACGACTCCAGACCATTATGCAAGCACGATGCCGGGGAGAGGCAGTAATGGTTCCTGGCCAGGATGTTATTGATAAATAAGTGTGAGTGGACACTTGATACATAAGTAGCCAGTGCGAGGGGTAAGTTAAGACAAAGGACATAACTTAATAGAGATTACGTAGAATATAGATGTGAGAATGGACCAAAGAATAGTTAGTAGTTAATCCAGGAAGAGCCTAGTTATGGCTAGACAAGAGGTCTAAGATAAATCAGCAGATCATGCAAGACAAACACAATGAAACTCAACAAAGGAAATTCAGTCTCGCAGATACGAGATTGTAATTCAGGAGAAACATTCAGAGAGGAGTTAGGGTAGTTAAAGGTACCGTATAAGTGTTACAAAAATAAAAAAGAGTGCCATTGGGGAGACAATCAAAGTTTCAGTTCAGAAGTAACCCGACGAGCACAAGGGCACGGAGGTAAGTAACTAAGGATAATTATAGGCGAGTAAGAACATCAAAAAATTCCGTCGGGTATACGATGCAATAACCTCGCAGCTTTACAAGAGTTAGAGGGTCTCCCCTAAGTACTACAACGAAAGACTAGATGAGGAAATAAAGAAGAAGGCTTCAACCTAAGCATAGTGACATGAAGAAGAAATGATATTGGAACAACAATCTCACCACAACATTGTATGTACTCCATAATAAAGTGGCACCTATCGTGACCAATGAACGGAAAGTAAAATCAAAAGTAACATTCGAGATCATATGAGTTGCACGAAATTCCAATATATGTGGTCACTAAGATAAGTCAAGCAATCATGAAACAAGTGGCAGAATGACTAGAAAAAGTAATTGCCTACGTTTAGAGACAGTTGAGAAGGCACGAAAGGAATTAATCGATTTATGACCCAGAGTTAGTTACGTTATGACCGCACTTAATATTTCAGAGTATTATCCATGTAACATATATGTTGACATTCTTACAGTTGCAGGAGACTCCGGTATAAGTTAAAAGAAAAAATTGAGTCCACGTCATAGACAAAAGTTTACATTAGTAGAAGATTATAACATGGATGTTCCATAGTGTCAACGAAAGGCTAAAATAATAACTAATACCCTGAGCCGTAGATTGGAATATAGCTTAAGCCTACTTAAAGGCTGTGAGAGAAAAAGAAACTAAGGAGTTACATAAGCTAAGTGAATCAGGAGTCTGATTATTAGACCTAGATAATTATAGAAATTGTGATTCCGAATATTGCAGAATCACTGTTAATACCAGAGGTACAAGAGAGATAGTACAATGGACATATTCTATAACGGCTCTACGATAAATCCAGTTAGAAGAGTACCAGTCTCATGAGAAGTCAGTATGAAGCTCCCGTCGGATTATGTATGCATCAGAGGTGCAAGTATTATAGTAGAGCTTTAAGGTATGGACGTGAATTCCACCTATGTGGAAGGGAGGTTATGAAAGCGACAGAAGATACAATGCAAGATTTAAAGGTAAGAAAGCTATGAATAATCCAAACTTCATATAGAGGGCTAAAAACGTCTTGATTCAGTATCCAGAAATGATAGTGGTGTCGTCAGTGGAATATCTTCCAGCCTATGGTTTCCAGGCTCTGAGAGGTCTAGTTAAGAGAGTAATAAAGAGTTAGAGACGACGTGATGTCTCGCTTGATGTTCCAAAATAACATAAGGAAATATATGTTGATAGCAAGTTAAAAGAAGGTTGCGAGTAGTATAAATAGACATGTGTGGGTCGTAAGCTAAAGTATCGTAGAGCGACAAGGTTTTAGGTAGACATGAATAAGGATATGAAAAGGTGAGTGAGAAGATGACGAGAGGCCTCAGGATTAAGCCCATCAAAACAAAAGAGCTGATGGTTTCTGTAAGTTATAGAAAGCTCTTTATAGCCTGAATGAACTCGTATGAGTTTAAGACTAAGAGCATTTAGAAGAGATGGAATGCTGCCCTGGTAGTAGAATAATGGTGTGATTGTGATAAATAATAAGAGGATGACATTTACTCCTTCAATTGAGTATTGATTCAAAGAGAAGGGATTTCATGAATTACACGGGATTAGAATACCCACATAAGATGAATCAAGTTGGAATTCTATAAAATATGGTTATTAAAGTATAGTATCGTCCCTAGGTGGATCAGGCAAATCACTTTAGATGCTCTCTGATGAGACGTGAGCCCTAGTGACAATATATTACGTAAGAGGTTTCAAGGTATCTGTGGTAGCTTATAGATTAACATTAAGGTAAATCAACAATAGATGGATAAAAGTTTCAAAATATGAGAGAAGATTATGATGTCATTCTTTAGATGAACAGTAATAAGGAAGGACTTAGATTTATACGCATAGGATGAGCAGTGAGAGAGTAACCTGGAGTTGGGTAGCAGACCTCGGTAATAATAAAACGAAGTAAGAGTTATGGCATAGTATGACCTACCTAGATGTAGTAAAGCCATAAGCATAGAAAACTGAGGCTCTGAAACAATATATAGCAACATTCGTAAGTTCGACAAAGTACCGATCTAAGAACTTCAGTACACCTATAGATGTCGAGAGGGACAACTTGTCATAGTAGTGTATTTCACAAAGTGAGGCCTAGAAATTGGATAAAAGCTGGAGGAAAAAGGAGAGAAGATTCGCATAGGCGCCCATACAAGGATAGAGTCGTACAGGCTGCATGACAGAAGGTAGCAAAAGTTATGAGATTGAAAGAATTACGATCACAAGTCGTAGTGTGAGAAAGAGGCTTAAAGGGGGGAATGCCCTGTCCTTTGGATTAATTCACAGAAGAGTTGCCTAAATGGAAAGGACAATATTAAAGTATTCATAAGATCTATATGTTATGAGATTGATAAGCATCAACAAACATTCGAGGACGAATGTTCCAAAGGGGGGAATGATGTTACACCCCATGTTTTCGTACGTAAAAGTACGCCGTAAGTCAATTGATGTAAGCTCAGAAATGAGATCATCTTTGAAAGTACATAAAGTAAGCTAATCATATTACCTTGGTGGTTAAAAATATTTAAGATCATGAATAAAAGGTTCCAAGAGGGTTGGAAGGCTTAGAAGCTAAACAAATTGAAGAAAATAAATTTCGTCGAAAGTCGACAAGTTGAGAATGTTATAACATGTACTTTTGGGGTGATACTAGGGTGCTTAATATTATAAGGAGATTATGTTATGAGTTATTTTAGTCGTATGATAGCCATGTATTATATTTTGAAGTCAAGCGAGTTGTGGAACAAAAGTTGGCAAAGGTCATCATAAGTTATACTCATAATATGTTGCAAATTAGGTCAAATGTATCTGAGTTTTTCTCCAAATATACTTGAAATTACGGGATGATCCACCTATGAAATTGAAGATCTACGAGTCTAGTTTCTAACGCATTAAACCGTTCGTCGATACGACATCGGAGTAGAGAGATATTCGCGTTTTGGCAAGATTGCGCAAGCAGCCCCTATGGGACTCACTTAGTCGATGGCCGGCCTTCACCTATTTTTATCTCGTTTTTGGGATGAGCTTTGCTCATTTTTCAACCTCCTTCAGTTCTCACTCTCCAAACCCTCCTAGCAGTTCCCCCAAGGTTTCAAACAAATTCCAAAGAAATATACCATAATCCAACATCAAAGTTAGCCAAAGGTGAAAAATAACTCCTCTATGCACTACAAAAAAATTATGTTAATGCGGCATTTATTTTTGTGTTTAGCGGTTTTAAACCGCCACAATACGCATTAATGGCGGTTTTCAAAAATGCCATAATCCCGTTCGCCACAAGTATAATACGGTGAATTTTACCAAACCGCCGTAATTGTTAATATAATGTGGCAGTCTTGCTTTGCATATATGGCGGTTCGAAACCGCCGTAATTTCACGTTTAAATTTATCCCAAAAAATATATAATATTTATATTCTGATATGCTATTTCATTATTCCACATGTATATCCTGTTTATTACATCCTATGTTCTTAAATTTGTATAAAGCTTAATAATAATTTTGACACATACATAAAGGATTAATAATTAAAATGCGAGAAGAAAAAGCAGAATATTCCTCATATATCATAAGCACTCCAAAATTACATTAAATGTATTGTTTCAAAGTGTTACTCAACAACAAAATAATACAATCAATCCTAACTGTATTTAGCATTTCTATTTCGTGTGAAGATCTCCTTGACCTGTTGGTGATAATGGAGTGTCACTTCAAAAATACGATGCCTGCAAAAAAGGAAAAGTAATTTTTAACCTTAAATCACTTTAGTTTCTAAGAAAGAAATAATGGTGGAATATAAAACTTTTCACATAATATTCAACAGATAAAGCCATAACCAAAAGAACATTAAACCTTGTGCTGCACTGCAAAATAGATACAACAACAATACAATAACAATAACAAAACCCAGTATAATCTCACTAGTGGGGTCTGGGGAGGGTAGTGTGTACGCAGACCTTACTCCTACCCTGGGGTAGAGAGGCTGTTTCCAGACCCTCGGCTACCTCCCTCCAAGAACTCCCCACCTTGCTCTTGGGGTGACTCGAACTCACAACCTCTTGGTTGGAAATGGAGGGTGCTTACCACTAGAGCAATCCACTCTTGTCCACGGCAAAATAGATAATGCATTGCAATAACTGTTCAGGTAATTGTGACCGTGCTTGCAGTTGTCATTATGGTAGTGGTGCAGAAACTCGCGGTAATTATATACAACAGTTGAACTTTATACCAACTCATTCCACTATTAAATATGATAGTTATAGTATGAGCGACTGATGTTCTAATTCATCTTAATTCATGTAGTACAAAAAAGAGGAAAATAGGATGCACTGTCCACAAACTGCAGTAAATAAGAAGTACTTAGGCATATACCTCAACTGTTAAACATTTTAACTAAGGTAAAAACAACTATGCTACATACAGTAGAGTAAGAAATAATTTCACTATTATAGTGGAGTATAATTTAGGCAAGTTTACGTACCTCCTGCAACTGAGGTGTTGCGGGTAGTTAACACCAAATTCTCCCTTCATATTTTCACTTGTAGATACTCCAGTTGTGATGAGATTCACGTCAACATTTTCTGCGCAAGAAACATATTCAGTAGTGCTCAGTATACTTGAAACAAATCAATGATATAAATGAGTTTTCAATTGAACATTTACAAGAAAAAGGTATCTTTTAAACTGATAGAATCTTCTTTGCTCAACCAAAAGTTATTTGAAGTACTAAGAATTAAAATTCAAAACAGAATAGCTGAGTACCAATTATCTTATGCATTTAAGATAAAGTAGTGTCTTCAGCTAACAGGCTACAGAGCTCAAATATGAGATGGAAATACAAAGTCGAATATTAGACGCTATGTTAGAGTAAACATGTTTCTTTAAACACAGTAGTAGAGATATCATATAACCATTACTTGCAACAATCTACAGTATATACTCCAAACTATATAGCTCTTTCAGCCTTTACCGAAAGTCACTTCAACATACCAAAATTAGAGACAATAGCTCCTCTCGATCACCTTTATTGTGCCAAACAAAATAAGTCAAAACACTCGCGTCCAAAATGGAGTAAACATAATACTGCCAATATATAGCTCTTTCAGCCTTTACTGAAAGTCACTTTACCACACCAAAATTAGAGACAATAGATCCTCTCAACTACATTTATTGTGTCAAGCAAAATAAGTCAAACTTACCAAGACATTGCTATTTAAAACTTTGACTTGTCAGATATACTTATTCGGAAAAAAATCAGATTGAAATAGAAGCTTTCGAGTCCCCATCAATATGGTATACTTCACTCATTGCGGAGCTCATAATCGTATTAGAAAAATGAAATATGAAAAAGAAATATGGACCTTAATGATGAACAGAACTTTGATCAATATTACTTCAATCACCAAAACCTTGAATGCCAAACTTCGAACAGAGCCTCTTAAAACATCCTCGTAGAAATGGACCTTAACAAATAAACATCGGATTACTCTCCAAGATGTTGAATTTGTAAAGTGAACTTACAAAACAACAAAATAGACCAAGCCCGAACATTGCATCACAGAACATCACATTAACCAAAGGACTCCTAATAGCACGTATCGTTGCTTCCGAGAAGATATCAACAAACCAAAATGCTAAAGAAAAGCTCATGCAATCTTGAGTGGTAAACGAAATATTTACTTATCAAGTACATTAATTGCTTTTTAGACACTTAATTAGCAATATAATACGATCGTTTTTTATTTTCTAGCAATCTAGTCTAGATAATAACACAAATCATAAGGATCTTCAATTTTGAATAAACAAGGGCCATAGTCAATATGTTTAGCAGTTCCCCTTTGAGAATCTATAGTGGTATGCATTTCAAAAATACGATAGCAATAACAATTAGCATTTCTGGAAAGTTGCATTTCACCAATAGAACTAGCAAACTTTTTATTTTATTTAAAAGATCTCCAGCTAGGAATTGATATCTGAATTTTTTTTTTGTTTCCAATAGACCTCAATATACCACCCTTAATAATCAAACTAGCATGAAAGCATCGTAATGAAAAATGTGTACAAACTCGAGATCAACTGAAAAACAAACCGAGCAAACTTATTTGACACCGATAAACAGCCACAATTTATTTATATTTTGAGAAAAATTCGTCACAGTCATTTTGGCAGAGGCAACTTCACTAACTACACCAGCAAAAGACCCCAAAAAAAAAAGTTAAGAAAAAATAATTAAAAAAATAAATTAAAAATCGGTATGAAACTAAACTAGCATAGATTAAGCAGAAGATTTTACCAGATGTAGATTCCTAAAACAGATTTGGTACAGATTGTGAAGTGTCGCTGGTGAAAGAGATGAAGTGTCGCCGGAAACCCTAAAGTAAGACAAGGAAATATTGGGCGTACTTTGAGTATGCTCTGATGTTTAAAAGGTTATGAAATTAAAAGAAATATAATGGCGGTTCAAAACTGACGCAAATTCGCACAACCGCCGTATTAAAAATATTAAATATGGCGTCTGCAAATCCGCCATTATTTAGAGTCAATTACGGCGGCTCCGTTAAACCGCCATTTTATAACCGCCGCAATATTGGCTTATTTTTTTTGTAGCAATGGTGTTGTGACGTGAACAAGGATGATGGTGAGCTAAGTTAAGCTTAGAGTTCGAATTGTATCTTCTCTCAGGTATGTTTAACATTCTTTTGATTGTGTTTAAGGTTAATTACATGTTGGTTGTGGTGTTGGAGTAAAAGATTATAAGATAACACTTGAAAGGGGAAGAGATGTTGTTATCTTTTGTTGGATTGTTTTAAGGCTCTATATGTATATGTTATTATGGCTGAAAATTGGAGAAAATAAATTGATTATGATATGGTTTCTATTGTTATGCATGTCTATATGTTTATCAAGTTAATTGATAAAAGAAACATATGAAACTTGAGATTGGAAGTGAAGATTAACTTAAGTCACTTCTACGGTGTTGTATTGCCATTGAGGGATGTTGTAAGCTAAATATAACTTGGATTTCGACTTGAAAATATTGTAGGAGGTATGTATATTGTGTTCTTGCATGTGCTTAAGGTTATCTGAATGTTGATGAAGTTAGATGGATGGACTAGACATGAACTAGTGAATAAAGTTGCTAATTGAGGATAGTTGGAGCTGTGGATTATTTTCTTTGTTTTACATATATGGTATGAGACTGGAATCACTGATGAATGACTTCATCATCATGTTAATGATACTATTGAGTTAAAGTAAAAAGTCTATAAGGGGTGATATGGCGTGTACGGATTCCAATCAGAGATTGCCGCTCATCGTGAAGTAGTTGTGACTTGTTGTTGTTATATGGTGTCTTGTTATTGATATTTATATGTTGTTGGATTTCTTTAGTTGTTGTTGTTGGTATATGGTATTGGAGGAGGCCCTTGTTACCGGGGAGATGCTGCCGAATTTACATAAACGAACTACTAGCTTAAGTTACGGACTTAGCTTTTACTCAAGACTAATTTTGAATCTCCTTATGCTATGGCAGATTAAGTGGAGTTGTCTAAAGAGTTGCTTGGAAGATATTAAGGAGTCAACAGGGTTAAGGTATGTTAAGGCTAAACCTTTCCTTCATTTTGGCATGATCCTGTAACTACATGTGTTTGATAACGAGACGTAAAGAGAAGTTTGTATTCCTGAACTTATGTACATTATCCTAATTTCATAAGTTACAGTATTCTCCCTTATCGGAACTTTATATTCAGTTAAGTATTGTCTTCTTCTAGTGAAGAAAGCAAATGGTGTATATATATATATATATATAGAGTATTTTCACCACCATCGAGCTATAATCGGTGGGGCAGACCCTTATTGGGCAACCTCTGATCAGATGATAAGTTATATACCGAGCCTACTGTGGCCGAGCGCCTATGAGCAAGCCTACTACGGCAGAGCAATTATACGTGCCGAGCCTTATAGGGCCGGATAACCATTTTACTTACTATATTAAGAGAGTTGAGTCAGTATCAGCAGGTAAGCATATCTTCAGATCATCTATGACTCTCAACTACTTTCAGTTATTATATTATTAGTTCAATTTTAGCTTTCAGTTATTCTGTTGCCTTACATACTCGGTACATTATTTTGTACTGACGTCCCTTTTACTGGGGACGCTGCATTTCATACCTATAGGTCCTCATAGACTGCCGGATAGACCTTCCTAGTAGACAGAGTCAAACATCAGCTTGGTTAGTAAGCTCCTTTTCCTCAGAGTTACCGGGTCTAGAACTTGGAGTCCATTTTATATATACCGGTTTGATAGGTAGGTCGAGGCCCTGTCCCGGCCATTATACATTTCAGTTATCTCTAGAGGCTTGTAGATGAATCCTGTGTATTTTGTATGTTAGTATTGTGGCCTTGCCAGCCCTGTGTACATGTTTAGTTTGGTATTGCTAGTTGTAGATGTTCATGGCGGCCTTATCGGCCTGCACATTTATGTATATGAGCTTTTGGGTATGTTTACCCTTAGATGAGAGAGATATTATTTTCACATGTTTCAGAATATGGCCCCATCAGCCTCGATTGGTATTGTCAGCTTGCAGGTAGGACTCATCATCCTAAGTTGAGATATACCCCTCCACAGTTCACGGTTACAGAGTGGTACGCTCGGGCCGAGTATGACACCGGGTGCGGGCCACGCCTCCCCAGGTTTGGAGCATGACAGTCATCCTCGCTTTTGTGATGTTGGGCTAGTTGGGAGGGACCTCGCTTTTGCGAAGTCAATTGAGGCCTAAAAGTTCGCATTTGTGAACTCTAGATCGCATTTGCGATGAAGGTCTGGGATGGGGAAGAGTCGCTTTTGCGACCAGCTGGTCGCTTTTGCGATTATGTTGCTTTTGCTAAGGGTTCAGAACTGTACAAGCTTTACATTTGCGAGGGTACGCAATTGTGAACCCCATGTCGCAAATGCCACTTCTGCAACTTGTTTATAGCTGAGTATTTCGAGACTTGGCTTCATTTTATCATATTTTGAACCCTAAACTCGGTAGGAGGCGATTTTGTAGAGGAATTTTATCTACAAACATTTGGGTATGTGATTCTAATCAATTTTCAATTATATTTCATGATTATATATTAGATTTAACATCAAATTTATGAGAATCAAAGAGAAATTTTGGGGATTTTTGTCAAAGTTTTGAGAAATAAAAATTTGAAATTTGAGGGTCGAATGGGACTCGTATTTGAAAAAAAAAACACATATATGGACTCGTGGGGTCATGGGTAGTCAAGACCTACCCTTGGACCCAGGTATTGACCGGGCGAGCCCGGGGTTGACTTTTGTTGACTTTTGGGCAATTATGTAAAGATCATAGCTTTAATTATTGGAATTGATTTTTCTTGCATTATTTGACATTATTGAGTCGATTTTGGTTAGATTTGAGGCGAGCATAGGTGAATTGTAAAGGAAAANGGGGGAACTACCCCATAAGAATTGGTTTGTTTGCACTATTTGAATTACGTGAAAGACGTGTACGTGAGGTGACGAGTGTGTACACGGACTTATATGTGATATTTGACCGGTTTAGACTATTAGGTTACTTTCATGCATTTAATTGAAGTTATAGTTTCATGTTATATCTTTTGTTATTAGGTTTGCCCTTGCGTGCTCTATTTGAAGTTGTTATTACATGTTCTATCTTTCATTTGTCAAGCTCACCCTTATATGTTTTTAATTATTAATTGCAATTACTTGTTGAATATGTGCTCTATTAGTCACATGCATTCATTGTTAATTGATTCTCGAAAATCGTGTCTTGGTTTATGAATTGTCATTTCTTGCTATTTGATTTTGTGCAAAGGCGGATTCAGGATTTAAATCTTATGGGTTCAATTTTAAGATTTTTAACATTGAACCCATTATATTTTTAAAGATATGGGTTCATATCTACTATTTTTGCAATTTTAATAAATTTTTAAATATAAATTTTTATTCCGTGTCAAACGTTATGGGTTCAGTTGAACCCGTAGCAAGTATGCTACATCCGCCTATGATTTTGTGAGTTATCGTGTAACTGTTTCATCCGTTGTGACTTCTTTGTGTAGCTTTATTATTTCGTTGATTTTGTGATATGCCGTAGTTGATTGTAGTTTTTTTGATTACTTTTTATTGCTTGGGGAGCGGGTTGCACGCTGCAGCTGTATTGAAATAATGTGGAAAGATATGATATGGAGTGATAAGGACGGATGATATGATATGGTGAGATCAGGTTGCACGTCGCAACGAATTTATATGTTGTAATTGTTGTGATAGTAAGTTTATTCTCGGTTGTGATTTTCATGGTACCTTTTATGTTGGAACGGTTATTGCTGTTTCTTAAATCACTTCACTTGTATTTTGATCATATTTGGTAAATGTCAGTATTCTAGTAATGGAACGATATAGACTTCTTGTGTGAGTCATGCATTATACGTAATTTGTTGAGTTGTTTAAACATGCCAAATTATGCCTCCGTTATTTCTTGATAAATTGATTGTCAAAGTGAATTTATATGCACGGGGTCATTATTTCATATCCGATTAAGTTGTTAGTAATTTAGCGGTTTAAATGAAAGAACTCTTAAGGTGTTTCACTTGCGTGGCTTTCAAAATTAAACTCGTATCTCATTCAACGCTTTACTAATTTAAATGATTATCACATTTTTACTTTAATTGGATTCTCAAGTTCTACTCATCACCTTATTGTTGTGTACTTTACTTAAAAATTGTTATCACGTTTTATTTTAACAAATTCTGTATTTAACTCATTAAATTTAATTGATGTTTTACCTTGTTTAAATACGATATTTTTACTTCATCTCAGTAATTTCAAAACTAAGCTCATCTGATACTATATTTGCACAACCTCTCCTTTATTTTACTTTATTTGAATCCTAAAATAAACTTAATATCTCATTTGACGTTTTACTTTATTCAAGTTCGAAATAAGTTTTATTGTGTTTAAATTTATCCCTCGATCATCTTAGTTGATATAGATACGAATACGATGTACATGGTAGCACGAGGACTTTTCCGTGCGAGGGTGATTGCTAATGTGGGAACGAGGTGCCATACGTATAAGATTTGGAAGTTATGACTCATGATTTGTAATTACGAGGAGTGGTATGTCGGGTAATTCTTGTTGTAATTCGTGCATTAAGAACAATTTGATTGATTGATTTGTCATCGGTTCCCCTTACTTGAATTCATTTCCGTTTCATCAGTATTCTAACTATGGTGTTGCTTCATTACCTGATTATTTCTTGTTGCCATCGTGATTCTATTATTTGCACTATTGATTGTAAATTAGTGATCCTTCTGTTGTTGGTCTTACATCGATGTCCTTTCCATTGTTAGCTTTATGTTATATCCTGCACAAGTTTTTATGTCTGGTAGGTATCTTGACCTGTACTCGTCACTACTCTACCGAGGTTAGGCTTGATACTTACTAGGTACTGTTGTGGTGTACTCATGCTATGCTTTTGCATATTTTTGTGCAGATCCAGGTACTTCTGATCAAGTTGTTTTGAGACTTATGTCTGCGCGGTTGGAGATTTTAAGGTATACCTTCTCGACGTTCGCAGGCCCCGAAGTCACCCTCTGTTGTATATGATTTATACTGTTTACTATTATTTTGGGAGAGTGATGTACTAGTTATTCCTAGTTACTCTTAGAAAAACTTATG